AACTGCAGTGTAGGTCTTCTGTAGTCCTGGACTCGGAGGGAGGGAGAGGGAGGGAGGGAGAGAGGGAGAGAGGGAGAGAGGGAGAGAGGGAGAGAGGGAGAGAGAGAGAGAACATTGCCCCCTCGGCCACACTTTGAAGTTTCACTTCCTCTTCTGATCCGTCTCCCAAACACAACTTTCCCTTCAACCCGTATGAAGAGAGCGGGTTGTGTGTGTGTAACTTCTACACACACTCTTCTCTGCATCTTATCTGTCTGTCTATCTCTGTGTACCGCCTACATGTACTGTAGTAATGTGTGAGTGAGTGAGACCTAGTTGTTGGGCAGAAAGCAATAAACTTCATTAAAAGATGCAACACAGGTTATACAGTATATCTATGAATGTTAAACAACTTAGCAAATGTTTGTGAGCGGGGTTGCTGTGTGTGTTACTTTGGGGTGTAGTCCTTCTCCCCACATCTGCAATGCAGCAGAAAAGAGACAAAAAACGGAAAGAGAAAAGCTCACATGCTTTGACAAAAAGTCAAGGTCCCGTTCTCGGATATTTAGATTCTGAAGCTGCTTGACAAAATAGTTTTCTATTGAAGCCCTGACCCAACCCAGCCCTGAGTTGAATGCTAAAATACCATTGGCCCGTAGCTATCTCCAATCTCTGTTAGTCCTGAGAGTAGTGCTGCATTTTAAAGGTACAGTCCTGAAGCACATCTGCAATGCACACACAGCACTTCTGCAAGTCGGGCTGGGCCAGCCAGCGCAGATGTGAGTCACAGAGGTCACCTTTAAAATAGGAGCTAAGCTGGGAAGCTGCCCCACCCCTGAGGTACTGTATACTATTTGTCTCAATGGGCTTTTCCTGGTTAAATAAATAAATACCAGACCTGGGTTCAAATTGTATTTGGAATCATTACAAATACTTCATGTGGGCTTGATTGAGCTTGCCTGGCACAGTGGAAGCAATAGAATACCGGCGAGAGTACTATGGTATGATGGTACACAGTGGCTTTGCAAATTGACTCTAAGTAAAGTATGCTGAAAATGTAATACTGTTTTTTAAAGTGGGATCTTGTTGGTGAAGACTGAGATTGATTGATTGATTGATTGATTGATTGTCATAGGGGTATGTTGTTGGGGTTATTGTGACTATTGTATAGAATGTTCTTCTTGGGGATTCTGTCGATAGCATTGGAGTTGTTTAATGGATATGTCATAGTTGGTCCATCCATGTATGTTTCTGTCTTGTTCTGACATACGCCGCCAACCCAACACTGAACCCCAACACAACAATGTAAACAAAAAGACAAAGAGAAAAGTGAAATATTAGTGAGTGGTTGTGTGTAAAGACAGAAGGATATTCATCTTTTGGCTACTATGTCTTCTGGAGCCCCAGAATCCCTCACCATGGATACAGACCTGTCAATCAAACTGGATGAACTCTTACCTATGAACCCTGAGAGGAATCTAATTGGCTCTCCAGCAGCATGCAGACAGCTTATTCACTGTCTCTCACACACAGACACTCGCGCACACACACACCGTATAACCCACGTGTGTGATTCTGCCATTGATCAAAGGGGTCTGCTTTGTACATTGGAGCCCCCTAGAGTTTTTTATTGCATGGATGATCCAAGTTATTGTGGTGATGATGATGATGATGATGAAGTCTTCCAAAAAATGATTTTAAGAAAATCTCCATATTACTTGTTTCTTGTCTTCCAATGAAAAAACTGTACTTCAGTCTTCCAGCTAACAACAAAACCCTGATGACACTATTTTTGTACCAAAACAATGGGACTATAATATCCATGGAAATGTGGCGGTGGCGGTGGGGGGGGTTGGGGGTGGTCTTGGGGGTGCATTGCAGTGCGCCCCCTGTTGCACACAAAGAGGATAGCAACACTATGCCATCTAAAAGCAAAACACCGAAACATGTATCACCGAAAGAAAAAAGTGAATGGAACAATAAAGGAATAAAGATGGATCCAAGGCTGTTTTGAGCTCTATAGCATACGGCAGTCACAGATGGACCGTACTACAAGCATGCATGCGCCCAACATTTACTGGATACATCAAAAAAGAAAGACGAGTCCTATATTTACTCCCCCCCTCCCTTTCCCCCCATACACACTCTACTCCTTCTCTGCATTTGCAATATGATCTGTATTCATTTCTATAATAACTTACAAAGTCAAGGGAGACATGTTATTGGATATAATTGAATAAAAACTAATATATTTGTATGATTGTAAAAAAAGAACTGGTCTCATGTGTCTTTTAATTGTGTACTGTGCTTTCTTCCACAGCCTGCTTGTTACAACTAGGCCTATGCAAATAAACAAGGTTATTCTGATTTTTCAAGGTTATTACTGTGTTCACCAATAACTAATTTCTGGACATTGATTTTTGCATATGACTAGCCTACTTAATTAAGATATCATTGCTGGCCTTATCTGATAGATCAATAATCGTATTCCTTATTCAACGTCTGCTCCCCATCAGATGCAACCTATCTATGTGGGCTAGTGCGATTCAGGATCCTTGGGACGTACAACTCTGACATCACCCCCTTGAAGTTTAAATTTAAAAATGTTAAGGTAAGGATTAAGATTATAGGGTTAGGGTTAGATGAGGGTTAAGGTTAGGGTGAGGGTTAAGGTTAGGTGAGGGTTAAGGTTGGGGTGAGGGTAGGGATGTCCCTGATATTCAAGGTATAAGAATCCAGCTGTAAAATAATAAAAAATCCCATGACTGAAACTTAAATCAATCTCAGATCGATTGTCTGGGGCCAAGTTAACCTCCCCTTTCATGTAAGAAAGTCATTACCATAATGCTTTTAGGGAAAGAGATCATTTTGTACATGTATTAAACTGTGAGTTTGACCAATCCCCTTTCCAGGGTCCTCCCCGGGATCATTTTTATGTAGAAGGACTGAGAACCTCAGTTCTGGTGACTTTTAAAAGGACATTCTACTCCTAAATGTATGAAAATAAAATTATGCTGACACCATCTAAAATATAACATAAATGGGTCCAATAACATATTGGTAAAAATGATGTAACATTTGTTTTAACATAGCCTATGCATGGTCTATATTATCAGATGTGCTATTAGCAATAAGAATGATCACCTGTACACCAGCTTCAAACAGATGAAAATACAATATTTTGGGTAATTGAAAATATATTTCACAGCGGTGTAGATGGTACAATGATTATCTACACTATCCATTGCTTGTTTTGTCACATGAACGGAAATTAGGAGAACTATTAGAATTTTAGCAAACAGGAAATGGTTGGCGATTTCTGCATATTGCACCTTTAAGAAATGTTGTGCATTGACTGCCTGTCAGAATACGTTTCCCTCCATAGGTTCTTGCAACTTGAATGTGCCTTGAGAGGAATATGTATCTTGCATAGAACGCACAACAACAAGCCGACTAGGTAAATAGTTAAACTATTCTACCATGGGGTCGTCTGATTTTGTTTTAATAACAACAATAGTAGCACTGGAAAGTTCCATCGTGATTTGCCAGCAGCTACAGCTGTGGGCTACACACCTCTATCTGGGTTGAGCTCTGCTGTGGTGCACATTATAGACTAGTTCATTCCCTTCATCTGACCATCAGAGTGTCATCAACAATCATACATGTCAGTTCAGTGCACACAGCCTAACAGAGAAAATTACATATTTGAGAATACATATATTTAGGAATATATTTCGTAGAACTGACATGCTTCTGTCTGTATTAGGCTATGTAAACCCCTCGGAGATTACATTGATTTCAAAAACAACCTCTCCAGAATCCATATGATGGAAATCCGTCGCAGTGATGGAGAACTTGAACCTCTGTATAAAAAAGAGAGGTGGAACAAAGGATTATCCCTGTCTTTGAGTTGGTGCCAAAAATGAACTTTTAAAAACGGAATATTTGCATGGGTGTTGAGTTGACACCAGTTGCACGTTTCTATGGTAGGCAAATTAAATTGGCGGGGCTCCAGATGCTACTGAGAGTGCATCATAAATTAATGGGACATCACGAGGGGTGCGTGTGGGCGCGAATTCGGAATGGCATGGTGCGGCAGTGGCATATGTTGTGGGTGCCTTCAGGCTTTGTCTCTGCATCACGCCGGGCCCAGTGCGACCGCAGCCGGTCAAAATGTACCCAGCACAGCGGGCTTTATTTAAAAGCGGAAGCAGGACCGGTCAATATCTCCAGCTGTGCCAATGACTCTCTGTGATGACAGCCCGTCTACTTATGCAATCTTTATTCTGACAGTGACAGGCAGCTAATGCGCTGTTTTTGAGTCAACCACAAAGTCCTCTAAAAGTAGCCTATGCAAGGGCTTTACCACTGGCCATAATTAGGCTTATCGCTATCATATTTTTGTTTAATAGCAGAGATATGCGTGGCTAATTAGATTGAATAACTTTCTCTAATGAACTAAAAGTACATCACATTAATAATAACTAGGCCTATGACAGTATGAGGACTCTTCTCTCAAAACACTTCAGAAACTACAGAATTATGCTGGCAGCGATTCAAATACATCTTCAAATGATAATCCCCATAGAAACTATCAGATCTGTGTGATGCATTAGGCCTAAATTGATCCCTTCTTGTTATTTGTTGAATATTTCCATATTACTTTTTTATTTAAATATTTTATTTGAGGGTTTAATGCATTCCCAACATAGCTTTTCTCTTTATTTAAAACAGGTGAGGGGTCACATTACTTAGGTCATTTGAATGTAGCCTATTCCTCATCAAATTTGAAAAGTTTTAGCCTAATCTAGCACAGTCATGACCTAAATGTGGAGGTGTAGGCTGAGATTTACAGCAGTTGGCTCAAACTGCCTGATGACAGACAACAACACTCTGGATTTTAATGCACGGCACCCGTGGAACGACACCGCCCAAACGGCATAATAACATCCATTTTGTTGTGTAAAATAGTATAAATAGCCTACTTACTGTTTTGAAGGCCTGTCGGTTTGTGCGTTGCCATGAGGGCCCTGGACTTGCTGCTACTGCCATGTTGCTTGTGTAGCCTGTATGTGGTGGGAGGTAAGTGGGACTTTAGAAACAGTTGTGGAGAAGGTGAGGCATTGGTCGATATATAGTTGGCCGAAAATACCTACTTTTTTCCAGTGTTGTCAAGTTGTGTATAACTTTATAGTTAACCTGTGCGTGAAAAGCATATTCCCCTAACGCCTCAATCACAGAGACAGTGTCATTGCGTTTTGGTACACCAGAAGTACATTCATTTCCAATGGAACACTGCGTTTGTCTTGCAGCATTGCGTTGCAGAGGCAGTTGCAGTGTGTTCTGTGTGGCGCATATGTATGCATCAAATGTTATGCCTCGATCACACCAACAGCATAACTGCACAAAATGGTACACAGCATCATCTGGGTATGTGTTCAACAAAAGTTCAACATTCGCCTTCTGCTACCATTTCTGTCAAGCCGTCCATGCATACAGTTTACATAACATTAGATAAATCCAATTTATGCACCACACAGAACACACTGCAATGCAATGCTGCAAGGCAAACGCAGTGTTCCATTGGAAATGAATGTACTTCTGGTGTATGAAAATGCAATGAGACTGTCGGTGTGATCAAGGCATTAGACGTAACAGAAATAGTAGCAAAAGGTGAATGTTGAACTTTTGTTGCACACCTATCCAATACAAATGTTGATTGATATTTATACATAATGAAAAAAGTTTGACTGCAGAATTTATTACAGCATTGATGCAATTACACTGCTGGTTTGATCAAGGTGTAAACATGCACTCTACTATGTGCAGTTTTGTGCAACTCTATCAATCAGTGAGTAGCTAGGTTTCCATCCAATTGGCAACAGATTTTCATGCAAATATTGTATTCTAGAATCTGCATAAAGAAAATATGCAAATTCTCTCACCAGTGGGTTGTTTCCACCAAATGGACTTGTTGCTGATAAAAATCAGTGCTTAATGAGGTAGTGCACACAAAATGTACTTTTTCATGTACCGAACAGAAATCTAAAGTTTCCATTGCATTTCAACTCTACTGATAGTTTTGTCACAAAAACTGTTGCGTTAAATAGCAAATGTGCCTTCTCTGGTCTTGGCAGGTGCGATCTAGCCAACAGCTGGCAGATATAGTGCGGGTAGGCTGTGAAGGGTAGGCTAGTCTACAGTGAGGGAAAAAAGTATTTGATCCCCTGCTGATTTTGTACGTTTGCCCACTAACAAAGACATGATCAGTCTATAATTTTAATGGTAGGTTTATTTTAACAGTGAGAGACAGAATAACAACAAAAAAATCCAGAAAAAAACGCATGTCAAAAATGTTATAAATGTATTTGCATTTTAATGAGGGAAATAAGTATTTGACCCCTCTGCAAAACATGACTTAGTACTTGGTGGCAAAACCCTTGTTGGCAATCACAGAGTCCAGATGTTTCTTGTAGTTGGCCACCAGGTTTGCACACATCTCAGGAGGGATTCTGTCCCACTCCTCTTTGCAGATCTTCTCCAAGTCATTAAGGTTTCGAGGCTGGCGTTTGTCAACTCGAACCTTCAGCTCCCTCCACAGATTTTCTATGGGATTAAGGTCTGGAGACTGGCTAGGCCACTCCAGGACCTTAATGTGCTTCTTCTTGAGCCACTCCTTTGTTGCCTTGGCCGTGTGTTTTGGGTCATTGTCATGCTGGAATACCCATCCACGACCCATTTTCAATGCCCTGGCTGAGGGAAGGAGGTTCTCACCCAAGATTTGACGGTACATGGCCCCGTCCATCGTCCCTTTGATGCAGTGACGTTGTCCTGTCCCCTTGGCAGAAAAACACCCCCAAAGCATAATGTTTCCACCTCCATGTTTGACGGTGGGGATGGTGTTCTTGGGGTCATAGGCAGCATTCCTCCTCCTCCAAACACGGCGAGCTGAGTTGATGCCAAAGAGCTCGATTTTGTCTCATCTGACCACAACACTTTCACCCAGTTCTCCTCTGAGTCATTCAGATGTTCATTGGCAAACTTCAGACGGGCCTGTATATGTGCTTTCTTGAGCAGGGGGACCTTGCGGGCGCTGCAGGATTTCAGTCCTTCACGGCGTAGTGTGTTACCAATCGTTTTTTTGGTGACTATGGTCCCAGCTGCCTTGAGATCATTGACAAGATCCTCCTGTGTAGTTCTGGGCTGATTACTCACCGTTCTCATGATCATTGCAACTCCGCGAGGTGAGACCTTGCATGGAGCCCCAGGCTGAGGGAGATTGACAGTTCTTTTGTGTTTCTTCCATTTGCGAATAATCGCACCAACTGTTGTCACCTTCTCACCAAGCTGCTTGCCGATGGTGTTGTAGCCCATTCCAGCCTTGTGTAGGTCTACAATCTTGTCCCTGACATCCTTGGAGAGCTCTTTGGTCTTGGCCATGGTGGAGAGTTTGGAATCTGATTGATTGATTGCTTCTGTGGACAGGTGTCTTTTATACAGGTAACAAACTGAGATTAGGAGCGCTCCCTTTAAGAGTGTGCTCCTAAACTCAGCTCGTTACCTGTATAAAAGACACCTGGGAGCCAGAAATCTTTCTGATTGAGAGGGGGTCAAATACTCATTTCCCTCATTAAAATGCAAATCAATTTATAACATGTGTTTTTCTGGATTTCTTTTGTTGTTATTCTGTCTCTCACTGTTCAAATAAACCTACCATTAAAATTATAGACTGATAATTTTTTTGTCAGTGGGCAAACGTACAAAATCAGCAGGGGATCAAATACTTTTTTTCCCTCACTGTACATAATGAGATTATTAAGGATAATAATATCTTTATTTGTCAAATAGCAGTCAAGCATCGATCATCATATCACCAGAATAAGACCCTCAATATTTATTGGAAAGAAGCATCAAGATCACCGTGCACTATCACCACCCTGTGAAGTTCATCATAACTTATTTTATCTGCATCATAATAAACTGCATGGCTTCACACCATACCCAGCTAGCACAGTGGATCTGGGCCGATTCTGGCTGAGAGTTGGGGCACTCAGCTGAGAGTCAGACTTGGCCGACGTCATGTGGAGTCTGGCCCGCATTCGGCAGTATTACTTATGGCTAGGATGTGGGGATTGAGCTCGGGCCGATTCCACTGTGAGTTATCTGGCCCAAATGTATTACTTGGGGCTCGGGCCGATTGTGGCTACTCTCTGGCAGATGATTACACGGGCTGCTTTAAATAATTAACATTTCATTATTTATTTATTTTTCCATAAAATGGTAGTTCAAATAGAATAGATATGGAAGACAAACAAAATTTAGATTTCAGCTTGAAAGTCATTTTGAGCGGCCGTATTCCGTATGGCTACCATTTGAGTTTAAACATCCATGGTGGATGTTTAACTGAGGCGCTTGCTATTCCAACTGTCAGAAACTGTCACTAGAGCTTGACCTTCAAGATGGTAGGTATAGACACCTCTTTTGTTAAGATGGAAACAAAATAGCCAGCTAATTATTGTTATTTTTGTATACATTTATTTAAATTTGCATTGGCCGCTTCTGGGGGGATTCTGGTAAGATGCCGGCAAAGTCGGCTGAATTCCGGTAGACGGAAAGGCAGTCATTCATTTTGATTCTGGGCCAAGTCAATCAGTTCCGGCCCCTGGAAGAGGGCCACTTCTGGGCCGATTCCTCATTGCTAGCTGGGTATCAACGTGTGACACCAAGTTTACTTCGATATTATGTTTATTATATCAATATTTGTGCATAAAGGATTTCCACTGCCATTTCTCGCACAATTAACACAAAAAGATCCCATCATGTCGAACTAAGAAATTATCATATGGATAGTAGTAGAGAGGTCAAATGTTGAAACTGCTGCACAGACACTATGGAAGCTCGTCTAGAGCGCCCAGTTAAATTGTGTTTGAGAGCATTTTTTTAACTCTCTAAATGGTTAAATTAGTGAGAAATAGATCACATTGTTGCAATAGTTTGTGAGTGGGCAACATCTACTATCATCTTAAATTGACATGTTTAATTATTTTGCCATATTAAATTATTATAAATTGCGCTAATTTCCCTAATGTGGACAGTTTGTGTTACTACCTTACACAAGCTTGCATTTTCACCCCCATAAATTGATTTTGTCTCACGCTCTGGAATGCGACTTATAACCACTTAGAACGCAGAGTTAATAAAATGGCACGCGCACAACCTGATTTCCCCCCCTAATCGGTATCAATGATTTATTGACCCTTGTGAAAACAACAGGGTTTTTAGTGCGTGTTTATTTCAGAAAATAGAAGTAGTATGATTACTATTGTTGCACATGTAAGTGTAAATAATACATTTTATGTTTAGGTTTTCCCTCCCGGCTCCCGTCTGTCTGTCTGTCTGTCTGTCTGTCCCTTCCTGTGCTTGGCTAATGGAGGTACCTGGCTGTGCTGTTATTTGTTCCTGTCAGAGCCGGCCCTGCGGGGGCACTGCTTTGCAGAGACTCATGATGAATGCTGCTGCCGCAACAGCTGCCTATTATAAATGCTGTGAACCTTTGGAGGACTCGGGGGAGGAGGGAAAACAGGAGTTATGCATGGAAGTGCTACCCTGCGTCAATATTGGACAGTTTGCCCGGGCTAAAGGTTGGAGGCTTTCAAGGCCAGCGGGCTGGTAATACAGGGGCCTGCACTCCCACCAGTCCTGTGTTCAAATGCTATTTGAAATCATTTCAAATACTTTAGCTGTGCTTGATTGAGTTTGCCTGTTGCAATGGAAAATATTTCAAATAGTATTTGAACCCAGGTCTGGCTCTGTCTGTTTCGGTAAACGATTGTGAAATTGATAGAACAGCATATCAGAGCGATGAGGGGCAGGAGGTCAAGGATGCACCGTTACACAACATGCTTTGTGCCAGGGGTGGCTGGTCCTGGAGAGACATTCTGTATAGGCTTTTCTCCACCCCATCACAAATAATCAATTAACCAACCCAGAAAATGTTATTCAAATAATCAATTAACCAACCCAGAACTTCTTATTCATATAATCAGTTAACCAACCCAGAACATTGTATTCAAATAATCAATTAACCATATCTCATTCATAGAGATAGGTATACTATTATATACATTATGTTATATAGTTTTATGTAATTCTATGGTTGCCTCCCTCCCTCCGCCCCTTTCATGTGCGTCAGAGGGGGAGAAGAAGCTAATGAAGGATCTGTTCTCCAACCACAACCTGAAGGTTCGCCCTGCGGCCTCCCCTCAAGTCAAGGTGGTGGTCCGGGTTGGAATGATCCACTTTTCCTTCGTCAGCCTGGTAAGGGGTGCAGGAACACGTGCTGTTGCACAAGGAATCACACTTTAAAAATATTTACATACTGTTTTACCCACTTCATTTGTACTGTATATACTGTCTTCTAGTCAAGGCTCATCCTATATAAGTACTGCTGTACACACTGTTTCTATTAATATACTGTCCATACTGTCTATACACACCATTTTTATATATATTTATATTCCAGACTATGACATTAATGGTTATGACATTTCTTAATTCCTTTATTTTTATTTTGGTGATTTGTGTGTGTTGTTTTGTATTGTTAGATATTAATGCACTGTTGGCGCTAGGAACACAAGCATTTCGCAACACCCACAATCTGCAAAATATGTGTACGCGACCAATAACATTGTATTTTATTTGACACACACACACACATACACACCCACACCCTTTTGTAAATGTGTTTTTTCCAAATCCTTGATTGATTTGGGTGGTCATAATCAGATGTTGTCCTCATATACAGTGTGTGTATATGAAATCATTTCATATACACACATCAACAGATGACAGTATCATCTGTTGAAACCTCTCCTCCTTTTGGCCTCAGTACCCAGACTAGGTCACTCTATCCTCTGTTTCCTGTTTCTCGGGTTTGATTACTGACATTGGGCAACTGACACACACACACACACACACACGCACGCAAGAAAGCACACTTGCACACACACACTTGCACACGCACGCACACAAACACACACACACACACCTCACAATCCTTCCTTAATCCTCCAATCAAGGTCACACACACACCTAACCATGACGTTACTGGCAACATTACATACCAGTTAACTTGACTCCAAAGTGTTCCAGGAAGTGAATGAGTAAGTGAAAGGGCTATGACGATATCTGGTGATAGATAGCGGGAGAGCAACAGGGTTCACCTCTCCTTCCCATCCCCCTCTCCTCCTTTCCTCTCCTCTTCTCTCTGCTAGGCCTCTCTCTCTCTCTCTCTCTCTCTCCCTCTATATATATATATATATATATACAGTGGGGAAAAAAAGTATTTAGTCAGCCACCAATTGTGCAAGTTCTCCCACTTAAAAAGATGAGAGAGGCCTGTAATTTTCATCATAGGTACACGTCAACTATGACAGACAAATTGAGAAAAAAAAATCCAGAAAATCCCATTGTAGGATTTTTAATGAATTTATTTGCAAATTATGGTGGAAAATAAGTATTTGGTCACCTACAAACAAGCAAGATTTCTGGCTCTCACAGACCTGTAACTTCTTCTTTAAGAGGCTCCTCTGTCCTCCACTCGTTACCTGTATTAATGGCACCTGTTTGAACTTGTTATCAGTATAAAAGACACCTGTCCACAACCTCAAACAGTCACACTCCAAACTTCACAATGGCCAAGACCAAAGAGCTGTCAAAGGACACCAAAAACTAAATTGTAGACCTGCACCAGGCTGGGAAGACTGAATCTGCAATAGGTAAGCAGCTTGGTTTGAAGAAATCAACTGTGGGAGCAATTATTAGGAAATGGAAGACAAACAAGACCACTGATAATCTCCCTCGATCTGGGGCTCCACGCAAGATCTCACCCCGTTTGGTCAAAATGATCACAAGAACGGTGAGCAAAAATCCCAGAACCACACGGGGGGACCTAGTGAATGACCTGCAGAGAGCTGGGACCAAAGTAACAAAACCAACCATCAGTAACACACTACGCCGCCAGGGACTCAAATCCTGCAGTGCGAGACGTGTCCCCCTGCTTAAGCCAGTACATGTCCAGGCCCGTCTGAAGTGCATTTGGATGATCCAGAGGAGGATTGGGAGAATGTCATATGGTCAGATGAAACCAAAATATAACTTTTTGGTAAAAACTCAACTCGTCATGTTTGGAGGACAAAGAATGCTGAGTTGCATCCAAAGAACACCATACCTACTGTGAAGCATGGGGTTGGAAACATCCTGCTTTGGGGCTGTTTTTCTGCAAAGGGACCAGGACGACTGATCCGTGTAAAGGAAAGAATGAATGGGGCCATGTATCGTGAGATTTTGAGTGAAACCCTCCTTCCATCAGCAAGGGCATTGAAGATGAAACGTGGCTGGGTCTTTCAGCATGACAATGATCCCAAACACACCACCCGGGCAACGAAGGAGTGGCTTCGTAAGAAGCATTTCAAGGTCCTGGAGTGGCCTAGCCAGTCTCCAGATCTCAACCCCATAGAAAATCTTTGGAGGGAGTTGAAAGTCTGTGTTGCCCAGCGACAGCCCCAAAACATCACTGCTCTAGAGGAGATCTACATGGAGGAATGGGCCAAAATACCAGCAACAGTGTGTGAAAACCTTGTGAAGACTTACAGAAAACGTTTGACCTGTGTCATTGCCAACAAAGGGTATATAACAAAGTATTGAGAAACTTTTGTTATTGACCAAATACTTATTTTCCACCATCATATGCCAATAAATTCATAAAAAATCCTACAATGTGATTTTCTGGATTTTTTTTTCTCATTTTGTCTGTCATAGTTGACGTGTACCTATGATGAAAATTACAGGCCTCTCTCATCTTTTTAAGTGGGAGAACTTGCACAATTGGTGGCTGACTAAATACTTTTTTTCCCCACTGTATATATATATATATATATATATATATATATATATATATATATTTATTATTCAGTCTACCATACTGTAGTCTACCTTGACTCAGGCTCCAAGTCAAATAGCTTTATTTGCATGTGAAACATTCTCCATGCATCAGCAGAGCTTTATATTGTCAACACACACACACACACACACTAGTGCTGAGCGATGAGTGTTTATTTTAGGTTGGTTCAGTTTAGGTTTGATTATTTAAAAATAGTGATTGTTATAAAATATATATATATTTAACATTAAATGCACTATTTATTATATGGGTTGAATGCTGTAACAACACAGAATAAAACAATTAATAAAAGTCTCATGATGGTAGTGACTGTCCATTACTGCTTATCACTTATTAACCATTATTTATTCACATTTACTTTACTTTAATAAGATATTTCAGTTGTTGTGTATCTTATGTATGTTTTATTTGATTACTTTATTATTTAATTCCAAGTCATTCTCTCTATGGAGCTGCTGCCTATGCTGTCTGACAAAATCACTATTTTAGTAGTTATTCAAAGTAAATAAGGTATACTTTGTCTGCACTGTGAACCAGAATGAATACATAAAATACAATTACAAAATAAAAACACTAGGCCTATAGGCTATGCCTACGATGCGTTGTAGGCTTATGCCTCTTCAGTAAATCTGAGCTGAAAAAACATTTCAGGCTATTCATTAAAACAACTAGAGCCTATTTGCACGTTGTAATCAAAATTCTAATCTTAATTGGCACATTTCAAACTGTCATTTTGTGAAGCGCAGCTGGGAACTAGTTCTGTACAATGGCGAATGGTGTGGTCGATAAACCAGAATTGGAGGATCCTCCATCATCGTTTAAATCTCCAGTTAGGGAAGTTTTGGCTTCCCTTACTTACAACAGCGATGGACAGAGAATTGTGGATAAAACAGTAACGTTAACAACAACAATACAACATCGTCTCCCTTCTGCATTCAAGCAACCCTTGGCAGCTGATTCTGACCTGGACAAAGAAATTACAAGAGCGATAGGTAGGCTATTTTGTTCATATTTCTTAGAGTCTATGGCTTATAGCCGCGGATTCGGCCATTCTCGGTTGTTGAGAATAGGGGGTTTCAGCACCTCGTGAAAGTGCTCCAGCGACGTTAAGAACCTCCCTCTTTCACCCATTTCAGCAAACCAAAGCCGAAGTTTTCATTGAATTGGCCAATGCGCCATGTGTTGCGCTTACTTAACAGTGACAACCCTTCACATTACCGCGGAGTGTGAGATGTACGGCGCTACAGACACGCGCCATTTATGAGAGTCACAAGTGCGCATCTGGCACTCAAGGAGGCAGTGTCATGGTGCGTTCATAACCAAGTGGGAAGTGGGATTTTACCACATACGACTGGGAAAAATACACTTGAACGGTGATAATTACAAGTGGGAAACTCATATATCATCCTGAGCACCCACTTCTCCCACATGCTGACCTCTGACGTCACCTACTAAGGAAATGGCCTCTATAATAGAGGTGTGCAGAGTAGTCAGACAAAACGAGTATCATAACGGATATGGGCCATTTTCTGGATACGATTGTGATCAGAGTAAAAAAATAAAGGGAACACTTAAACAACACAATGTAACTCCAAGTCAATCACACTTCTGTGAAATCAAACTGTCCACTTAGGAAGCAACACTGATTGACAATACATTTCACATGCTGTTGTGCAAATGGAATAGACAACAGGTGGAAATTATAGACCTGAATCCAATTGAGCACATCTGGGACATCATGTCTCGCTCCATCCACCAACGCCACGTTGCACCACAGACTGTCCAGGAGTTGGCGGATGCTTTAGTCCAGGTCTGGGAGGAGATCCCTCAGGAGACCATCCGCCACCTCATCAGGAGCATGCTCAGGCATTGTAGGGAGGTCATACAGGCACATGGAGGCCACACACACTACTGAGCCTCATTTTGACTTGTTTTAAGGACATTACATCAAAGTTGGATCAGCCTGTAGTGTGGTTTTCCACTTTAATTTTGAGGGTGACTCCAAATCCAGACCTCCATGGGTTGATACATTTGATTTCCATTGATAATTTTTGTGTGATTTTGTTGTCAGCACATTCAACTATGTAAAGAAAAAAGTATTTAATAAGATGATTTCATTCATTCAGATTTAGGATGTGTTAGTTTATTGTTCCCTTTATTTTTTTGAGCAGTGTATATAATATCCGTGATCTGAAAAAATAAATACATTTGGGTGCCAGCACGCATATTTCTCATGTCAGTCAGTCGGTCAGTCATGTCACGAGGTGCTACGTGGTCTAAATAACTCAACTGGCTAGTTTGCCTGTCTGCAAAGAGAAGGGCGGGCTGTACGTTTATCCTGCTGCTCTGATTGGATAGAGTGAAGCTGTATTTCTCTGTCCACTAGCTTCATAATTTCACCCGATCACTTTCACTTCTCTGTTTGGGTCTGAGCATTCAGACTGTTGCTGCCTCCTGTTAGCCTGCTACTATGATCAATCAAATGGCAAGGATGTTTGCTATCAATCTATCAATGTGAATAATATCTAACAACGGGGCGAGAATAACGGCTCCTTATCTACAGCTTGTTTGGTCTATAGGCATTTTGCCAACATTTATTAAAACATCTGAGTATCATCCGATCCGACTATCAGCTCTCAATTTATGGATAGTCTACAACAGCATTTTCTGCAGTTAAATGCAACAACAAAACATTATAAAAAGCAATCTATTATTGTGATTTTTGAACTGTATAATTTGTTTACAAGCATGATAGCTGTACTTTTAGTTTATAGTTGACACAGCTTGTTGGCCATTAGCCAATTGCCATTTCTCAACAAGTTCAAATCACATGAATGCATCCAACTGGTATTTATGACTGGTAAATTCCCACCTCCCACATGGTTACAAACGCAGCATCAGAATGGAAACTTGAGATGCCCAACATAACAATCCGGTCACAACAGATAATGCCAGGAACTGTGATCCCAAAATCGCAATATGTACCGAACCGTGAGGTTGGTGAACCATTACACCACTACTTTTTCAGGTAGAGATAACTCATGATGCAACTGCTCTCTATCCCTCTCGATCGCGTGTCTTCTGTCGCTTCTCCCTCTGCCCCACACCAGAAAGGAAGAGGCGAAGCAAGAGGTTTCACTCTCGCCTAAATCTGTCCAGTGCGGACCTAAGCTTGTTGCCTGCCTTTCCGCCTTTGGGATAACAACTCCCATTGTTAGGGCGGAGACATTAGCATCTCGTCATTATAGATCTCTGCCCACACAGACCGTACAAGTAGGCACACAATGGATTTTGGTCATTGTAGTTAATTACCACGTTTTCTGTGCTAAACTATGTAGAATATTGACCTGTTGGAAACTACAACTCCCTACTACATTGCACAGTTTTGTCTTGAACTGATTTCTCTCTAGAGCAGTGGTCACCAAACTTTTAACATTGTTGAATGTGCTGAATAACAACTTAAATAACAACTTAAATATGAACTACTCATAAAAACAGCAGCTCTTTGGTGTATACGTTGAGTCTCTCTCTAGTCATGGTTTTAGAAGTTTTGAAATTTCACATTATCAACTTTGCTGTGCGTTCGAGGCTTCTTTTATGGCTCGAGGAAACTTTGCAGGCACGGTGATCTGGGCTATCTGATTAGCCAGTGGTAGGACTATAGGGCAGGTGGAGTTCTACCTTCAGACATGAAATGGTTCAAAATGGGAATACTTTTCCTTCCCGGTGCTAGGGCTGCTAAATCAAGGGCACCTACTGCCAACAGCATGAAACAAATAAAAAAAATAGGAACCTTTTTTTTTTTACAGAAATGTTTGATGACCACTGCTCTAGAGAAACTGCGCATGGAGCTCACAGAAAAAAAAAAAAAACGAAATGGGATTCATAGAATTGAACCGACGTCAGTCAATTGTTCAAAAACCGAAGAATAACAGAAATGTCAAACTGCTTAGCACCAACACACACACACAACACCAACACAAAACACAAACACACACACACCCAAATACAAATCATGCATTCAGTAACACTAATACACAGTTTATGCTAAATGAAAAATTATGCAAATGTTATTGACATTATTCATCTACAAATACACTGGGATATTGTGCTCCATATAGTTAATGACACTAGCCAGGAAAATGTGAAATAAATTGACCAAATGATGAAGTGGTTAGATTTCTAATTAGAAAGTTATCCCCTCCGTCTCTCTCTGTTTCTCCCACTCTCATAAATCTTTTTTTTCTTCTGTCTCCCATATTTCTCTCATGATATTTCCATCAGTTTTAAATCATTAAAACTCAAACCCAACTCCCAAAACTCACATGAACACCCATGGATAATACCTCTGTCTGTCTGTCTGTCTGTCTGTCTGTCTGTCTGTCTGTCTGTCTGTCTGTCTGTCTGTCTGTCTGTCTGTCTGTCTGTCTGTCTGTCTGTCTGTCTGTCTGTCTGTCTGTCTGTCTGTCTGTCTGTCTGTCTGTCTGTCTGTCTGTCTGTCTGCCCGCCTGTCTCACACACACACCCACCCCCACACACACACGTCCCTGTGATATCAGGAGTGGACAGACCACCGTCTCTCGTGGAACCCTAAAGACCATGATGGGATCGAGGTGATGCGACTTCCTGCTGGGAAGGTCTGGCTGCCTGACATCGTCCTCATCAACAAGTAAGAAGCTATTATGAGTGCTCAGTTGGTAAAGTATGGCACTAGCAACGGCAGGGTCACTGACTGTTAACTGTGTTAGTTGGATGACTGTTGAGTGTGGTAGTGATTTGGCATTTACTGGTGTAGTGGTGCTTCATCAAGTGGGATTCATTAGGTTAGTAGCAGTTGAACGCGAAACGAGGAAGAGCTTGGATTTGTTGTTTTGAAAAGTTTGTTGTTTTGAAAGTGTATTGGGAAGTTCATTGTGCTAGCTAACTTTTTAGTTTGGATCCCGCGAGACAGTTGGCATCAGTTGCTGGGATTGCTAATCTCTGTCCAGTGATCCTACCGACCAAGGACGGGTCTGAGGAGTTATTTGGCGTTGCAGCTAGCCTAGCTGCTAGCTAGCAGCATATCAAGCTAGCGGGGTTTTCTTGAGGGCTTGAACGCAGCCCGCAACGCGGTTAGCCATTGTCCCGGGTTTGTGGATGTCTAGATCCCTGCTGTTTGTTGTTTTCAATCTTCCCTGTGACCTGCCCTGTCTGGAACTGCGAGGAGTAACAGCGTTGCTAGCTACCATGACAAAGACCAAAGCCAGCGGGGGTACCGTTGTTGAGGACAATGGTCTCTCTATCACACGTGAAGGATCTTTTAAACAAACAAAAATAGTTCTACAAGCAGTTGTTACAACAACAAGAAAATAGCTTCAAGTGCTTTGTCCTAATACTGGTGGATTCGACTAATAAAAGAATGGACGACCTGACCAGAGAGTTCCAGGACCTAAAGAACAGTTTGCAGTTCTCCCAGGGTCAGCTCGATGAGTTGAAACAGGAGAACAGCAAGATTACAGCAATCTGTAAGTCATTGAGAGAGGACATCAGTTCTGTCTGTGAATCCATGATAACAATGATGGATAAATCAGACTATCTCAAGGGACAATCAAGGCGTAACAACATGGTTGTGGACGGAATTGCAGAATCTCCACATGAGACCTGGACGGAGTCTGAGGACAAAGTGAGGGAAATGATCTATGAGAAATTGAAGATGGACCACATGAAGATTGAGGTGGAGCGCGCCCACAGGACTGGAAAACCCACTACCGGCCCAGGTGACAGGCCCAGATCGATAGTGGTCAAGTTCCTGAGGTTCAAGGACAAGGTAGCTGTTCTGGACAGAGCCAAGAACTTGAGAGGAACGTACAGTGGCTTGCGAAAGTATTCACCCCCCTTGGCATTTTTCCTATTTTGTTGCCTTACAACCTGGAATTAAATTTTGGGGGTTTGTATCATTTGATTTCACGACATGCCTACCACTTTGAAGATGCAAAACATGTTTTGTTGTGAAACAAACAAGAAATAAGACAAAAAAACAGAAAACTTGAGCGTGCATAACTATTCACCCCCCCAAAGTCACTACTTTGTAGAGTCACCTTTTGCAGCAATTACAGCTGCAAGTCTCTTGGGGTATGTCTCTATAAGCTTGGCACATCTAGCCACTGGGATTTTTGCCCATTCTTCAAGGCAAAACTGCTCCAGCTCCTTCAAGTTGGATGGGTTCCGCTGGTGTACAGCAATCTTTAAGTCATACCACAGATTCTCAATTGGATTGAGGTCTGGGCTTTGACTAGGCCATTCCAAGACATTTAAATGTTTCCCCTTAAACCACTCAAGTGTTGCTTTAGCAGTATGCTTGGGGTCATTGTCCTGCTGGAAGGTGAACCTCTGTCCCAGTCTCAAATCTCAGGACGACTGAAACAGGTTTCCCTCAAGAATTTCCCTGTATTTAGTGCCATCCATCATTCCTTCAATTCTGACCAGTTTCCCAGTCCCTGCCGATGAAAAACATCCCCACAGCATGATGCTGCCACCACCATGCTTCACCGTGGGGATGATGTTCTCGGGGTGATGAGAGGTGTTGGGTTTGCGCCAGACATTTTCCTTGATGGCCAAAAAGCTCAATTTTAGTCTCATCTGACCAGAGTACCTTCTTCCATATGTTTGTGGAGTCTCCCACATGCCTTTTGGCGAACACCAAACGTGTTTGCTTATTTTTTTCTTTAAGCAATTGCTTTTTTCTGGCCACTCTTCCATAAAGCCCAGCTCTGTGGAGTGTATGGCTTAAAGTGGTCCTATGGACAGATACTCCAATCTCCGCTGTGGAGCTTTGCAGCTCCTTTAGGGTTATCTTTGGTCTCTTTGTTGCCTTTCTGATTAATACCCTCCTCGACTGGTCCGTGAGTTTTGGTGGGAGGCCCTCTCTTGGCAGGTTTGTTGTGGTGCCATATTCTTTCAATTTTTTAATAATGGATTTAATGGTGCTCCGTAGGATGTTCAAAGTTTCTGATATGTTTTTATAACCCAACCCTGATCTGTACTTCGCCACAACTTTGTCCCTGACCTGTTTGGAGAGTTCCTTGGTTTTCATGGTGCCGCTTGCTTGGTGGTGCCCCTTGCTTAGTGGTGTTGCAGACTCTGGGGCGTTTCAGAACAGGTGTATATATACTGTGATCATCATTTTCATTTCACTTAACCAATTTGGAATATTTTGTGTATGTCCATTGCATGAAATCCAAATTAAATTAAATTACAGGTTGTAATGCAACAAAATAGGAAAAACGCCAAGGGGGATGAATACTTTTGCAAGGCACTGTATATCTTTCTCAACAAGGACTATCCTGAAGCTGTGTGCCAGAAGAGAAAATAACTTATCCCAGCCATGAAAGCTGCCAGAGCGTGTGGAGACTGAATGTATATTTTTTTCTCTTGCTTTGTTTGCTCTTTCCAGTATTATGTCTATCTCTGATAAGCTACCCAGGAAAGGGTTGTAAATAGCCCATATTAATATATGTAGCATTAGAAATATGGTTCATGAAATCAATAACTTGCTAACATCAGATAACATTCATATGTTAGCCATTTCTGAGACTCACTTAGATAATTCATTTGATGATACAGCAGTAGCATTACAAGAATATAACATCTATAGAAGAGACAGAAATGCTTATGGGGGAGGTGTTGCTGTATATATTCAGTGCCATATACCTGTAATGCTTAGAGAAGATCTTATGTCAAGTGTTATTGAAGTGTTGCGGTTGCAGGTTCACTTGCCACATCTAAAGCCTTTTCTTTTGGGGTGTTGCTATAGGCCACCAAGTGCGAACAGTCAGTATCTAAATAATATGTGTGAAATGCTTGAAAGTGTATGTGATGTAAACAGAGAGGTCTACTTTTTTGTGGACCTGAAAATTGACTGGTTTTCATCAAGCTATCCGCTCAAGAGGAAGCTTCTTACTGTAACCAGTGCCTGTAATCTGGTTCAGGTTATTAATCAACCTACCAGGGTGTTTACAAACACTACAGGAACAAGATCATCCACATGTATCGATCACATTTTTGCTAATACTATAGAACTTTGTTCTAAAGCTGTATCCGTACCCATTGGATGCAGTGATCACAATATAGTGGTTATGTCCAGGAATGCCAAAGTTCCAACAGCTGGGCCTAAAATAGTGTATAAGAGATCATATAAATGATTCTGTGACTCATATGGGGATGATGTAAAAAATATTTGTTGGTCTGATGTGATTAATAAGGAGCATCCAGATGCTGCACTTGATTAATTTATGAAATTGCTTCTTCCAATTATTGATAGACATGCACCTGCTAGGAAACTGACTTTTAGAAGGATTACTTTATACTATTCCAGGTATTCCTTAAAGAGGTAGGGTTTCAAGTGTCTCCGGAAGGTGGTCAGTGACTCCGCTGTCCTGGCGTCGTGGGGGAGCTTGTTCCACCATTGGGGTGCCAGAGCAGCAAATAGCTTTGACTGGGCTGAGCGGGAACTGTGCTTCTGTAGAGGTAGGGGAGCTAGCAGGCCAGAGGTGGATGAACGTAGTGCCCTCGTTTGGGTGTAGGGTCTGATCAGATCCTGAAGGTAAGGAGGTGCCGTTCCCCTCACAGCTCCGTAGGCAAGCACCATGGTCTTGTAGTAGATGCGAGCCTCAACTGGAAGCCAGTGGAGTGTGTGGAGGAGTGGGGTGACATGAGAGAACTTGGGAAGGTCGAACACCAGACGGGCTGCGGTGTTCTGGATAAGTTGCAGGGGTTTAATGGCACAGGCAGGGAGCCCAGCCAACAGCGAGTTGCAGTAATCCAGACGGGAGATGACAAGTGCCTGGATTAGGACCTGTGCCGCTTTCTGTGTAAGGTAGGGTCGTACTCTGCGAATGTTGTAGAGCATGAACCTGCAGGATCGGGTCGCCGCTTTGACGTTAGCGGAGAACGACAGGGTGTTGTCCAGGGTCACGCCAAGGTTCTTTGCACTCTGGGAGGAGGACACAATGGAGTTGTCAACCGTGATGCCGAGATCATGGAGCGGGCAGTCCTTCCCCGGGAGGAAGAGCAGCTCCGTCTTGCAGAGGTTCAGTTTGAGGTGGTGATCCAACATCCACACTGATATGTCTGCCAGACATGCAGAGATGCGATTCGCCATCTGGTTATCAGAAGGGGGAAAGGAGAAAATGAATTGTGTGTCGTCTGCGTAGCAATGATAGGACAGACCATGTGAGGATATGACAGAGCCAAGTGTATAGAGAGAATAGGAGAGGGCCTAGAACTGAGCCCTGGGGGACACCAGTGGTGAGAGCACGTGGTGCGGAGACAGATTCTCGCCACGCCACCTGGTAGGAGCGACCTGTCAGGTAGGACGCAATCCAAGAGTGAGCAGCGCCGGAGATGCCCAACTCGGAGAGGGTGGAGAGGAGGATCTGATGGTTCACACTATCAAAGGCAGCGGATAGGTCTAGAAGGATATGAGCAGAGGAGAGAGAGTTAGCTTTTGCAGTGCGGAGAGCCTCCGTGACACAGAGAAGAGCAGTCTCAGTTGAATGACCAGTCTTGAAACCTGACTGGTTTGGATCTAAAGAATGATGGGAAAAAACTTTGGAGTACTTTAAATGAAATTATG